TGCGTGCGTGCGTGCGTGCGTGCGTGCGTGCGTGCGTGCGTGCGTGCACATCAGTTACTGATATTGGCCGGAACTGAAAGTTCATGAGCTCATTACTCCACTCCACACATGGACATAATACACTGGAGCTGATCTTCCTGCCATAACAATGCAGCACTGTTGTGATGCAAATCGTTTTATTGTTGGGTAGATAATCTATTGTGAACTTCATATGAAAGGCTCTCTTGCTCAAGTGTTGTCGTGCAGCATTTATATCTGGTGCAACGCCAGTGGGAGTGTTGCACACGCCTGTAACACATGTGAAGACTGCGTCACAGCATAGCTCTTTAGGATGAGTGCGTTGTGGCAAATCTGGCGTGAAGTCAAATGTAACCCACGGCTTGCTCGCCTTTTTTATTTTATTTTTACTCGTCAACAAACAAGTGATTTATTTCATCGCTCCTTGTCTTATCTTGCTGCTATTTGTGCCTTGTTTGCTTGCATTTCACAAGCTCACTCCCTTCCTTCCATAACTGTCTCCTTTGGGCGGAAAAAAAGCTAAAAGTTTCTCTTTTTTTGTTGTCTCTGCAGGACTGCCCTCAGATCCTTCCCTCGACCCAGATCTACATCCCTGTCGGGGTGACAAAGCCGATCACCTTGGCTGCCAAGAACCTGCCCCAGCCCCAGTCAGGACAGAGGAACTACGAGTGTGTCTTCCACATCCAGGGGGAGACCCAGAATGTGCCCGCCCTGCGCTTCAACAGTACCTCCATCCAGTGCCAGAAAACAGCGGTGAGTGAGAAGGGTTAGAAGATAGGAGATATGGGTAATCTGATCCTTGTGGTGGAGAACACAGCATGTTCTAGTGACATTATAGGAAAACAAATTGGATGGTGTTGTTTACAGAAATAATTTAGTTACTGTATTGTGTATCAAGAGGATTCAGGTTGAATGATGCGGACAGTTTGGTAAGGGGTCTCGCACACTCACAAAATAAAAGCACATGATGTAAAGCGTTAGTTATTAATATGTCCAAAACTCCTGAATAGTGTAAAGACTGAATCGCCAGTGCTTTGTTTTCTGTATAGGCTAAAAGCATAGTCATTTACCACTATTACTCTTCACCTAATCAATTGAACTAGGTAACTGAATCATGGTCCCAGTAAGGACATTTACTCGGTCAGGGTTTAAATAATGGCCTTCTTCAACTAATGACCACTTTGGGCACTAACATGCTCATTGTCCTGATGGATCACCGTGTGCCACTTGGACACTGGCTTGGTCACGATCTAGATAAATGATCCAATGCTGATCTTCCTGCATTGAACTGATAGTCGGCAAATAGATATTGACATGAAGAGTTCCTTTAGACATTATTTGAATTGAGACACGCGTATATGATAAGCCTTCACTGCGGGGGAAGTCTTAGTGTGCACTGGGTGAGATCATGACAGGTCACCATGCGATACCCCATTTACATCATTGATGTTCATGATGTGTGACGCTGCAGCGGTCAGCCATCATAGTTTCTGTTCTGCGCTTCTATGATTTTCTGTGCCTCTGCGGCTAGAAGGGATGAGTGGTGTGTGCCGGATTAAAGTGTTCTCAAGGATGTTTTTTTGCAGAAGTTTTCTAATAGGACTTTGTGTTTGTGTGTGTGTATATAGAGGATTTACAGGTAGGACGCTGCCTGTTCTGTGTGTGGAAAATATGGCAGTGTGTGTGTGTGTGTACGTGTATGTTTGTGAGGCTTCAAACTAGCGTGACAGATAAGCGGTAGCCAGCGTTGCGCTTCACTGAGGCTGAAAATGCGAAGAGGAAGTCTGTCTCTGAACCTAGTTGGGAGCGGATTGATCATGTTTACACCTCGACTCTATACCTCTTTCTCCCCCTTCCTCTCTCTACCTGTAGAGCTCATCTTTCTCTCTGGCTCTCCCACATCCCTCCGTCTGTCATACTGTCTTTTTCCTTCTATTCCCTATTCTCCTCACTGCTCTCTCTCTCTCTCTCTCTCTCTCTCTCTCTCTCTCTCTCTCTCTCTCTCTCTCTCTCTCTCTCACACTTATTTCTGCTGCTTGCCTGTCCCTGTCTCTGCCTATCTCAACATAAAATGTAAGGCATGAGATGAGAGCTGCTGCCGTAAATTTTGTTTTAGATGAGGGTGTTGCGACTGTCACCACAACGTGTCGCACATGGAGGAAAATCTTTGACAGATTAAATTAAAGCAGAAACATCTCGAAGTCGTCGATTCTTGCTAATAAGCTGTAGCGCCTTTAAAGATCTTTACCACTTCTATATACTGCACCTTGTCATAACAGTCACAAGTATAGTCAAATAGATTTGAGCAGACACACGTATACAGTACTCACCAGCAGCAGTCTTTCTTTAGCTGTGAAGCTCGCTGGTTAGCCGCTGTGACAGCCAGCGCAGCATTTGATTCTGTCTGTATCGATGGGCAGTCTTCAGGTGCTGGCACACGCTAGCAAGTTGTTTGTGAAGGCAGGGCTAATTAGCTAGCGATAGGGTTGTCTCTCCACAGAGATGTCTGTTTATTGACTGTTTATTGCAGCTGCAAGGCCACTGCTAATCAGCAACAAAGCCCCCAACCCCGGCCAAAAGCTGAATTTCTCCATTTGATGTCCGCAAAGCAGACATGCTAGCAGCAATTAGCCCTGGGCTGTCAGCACTTGGGCCTTGTTAGCAATTAGTCGGGGCAACTTGACTGCGCGGCAAGATATCGATGCAGCCCGTGCGTCGAGTCTACGTGAAGGCCATAGTTAGATTCTGTGGATGAAAAAGGTACCAGCTGCATGAACTTGCCATTAAGGAATAATTCATCCAGGCTTGAGCGTATGAGTGTAATTATGTGTCGTGAATTATTAGAATGAGAGTCTTATTATAGTTCCGGAGCAGTATATTTCACAAGAATGAGGTTCTTAAATATTAGTTTATCCGTTTATAGACCATCATATCTCTACTTTTTCATGCGCACCCCTCCATGTTTGTTCCTACTTTGACAGTGTTCAGCACCAACTCAATGAATCATGTATGACTCTGCAGTAGAAATAGACTTCATCTGTTATGCACACAGCTATGGGGATGGGGGTTAATCAGTGTCTGTGCGTGTGTGTGCACATGCGCATCCTCCACTGTGCCTTAGGCTATGGATCCCAGGATAGCTGTGGGGGAGTGGGTGGGTGGGGGGTGGGGGGGGGTTGCTTGCTAATCAATGGGATAAACACAGGAGTGCTAATCCACAGTTTAGCCTTGTGTTTGAGATACACACGAGTGTTTACCACTGTGTCAAACTGGCATACACTCACTCACTTGTTGTAGGAAAGACGAGGACAAGGGCAGAGACGAGAGAGCTGTAGCGTGAATTTCTATAAAGTAATAACGGAGAGGAGCGGGAAAGAGAGAGGGCAGAATTGGAGCGTAGTACACAATTTCAAGTGAGAAGAATGGAGAAAGGTGAAGGGGAGAGTGAGGGGGGAGATGAGAGGGTGTGAGGGAGAAAATCGGCTCAAAAGTCTCCCCTGAGGCCAAATCTCATTCTCCTCTGTTTCATACAATATCATCACACTATCCAAAAGAAGATAACTATTAACAGGATATTCAGGATATCCACCGTCAGATGATGTTTAAACTCTTTCCCATACTTTATTCTGTTTGCTTACCATAATAACTCAAGACTCTTATAAAGTATCGCCTAGCAGGAGGCTGTCAATAACCTACTGTATATGTGACACACATAACATACGATAGTGTAACATCAGCTCCATGCTAAGCTTGTTGGGTATTGACTTTCCATATCTGCTTATGGGGGGTAAAAATATTGATGCTATGGTATTTCTGTATAGGGTTACTGTACATACCAACTGATCCCTAAAGAGGGAAAGAGCAAGCGTATCACAAGACATGAGAAAGAATGCAGCATTGGAGGAAGGTTGTTCTTTGCAAGCAGGGACATGAAACAAGTAGTCCAAGGTGTTGAGACTTTTAAGAATCAAACGTTTGGGGTCAGGTTTTTGCTCAGTGTTCAAAGCTCTCAGCATTTTTTGCTGTGTTGAAGGTTATTATGGAAAACATGCTTTGTCACGCAATTTGAAGTTGGGTACTGAGCCAAACATAATTCAACATTTGTAGAACCTGTGAAAGTTGACGAAATGAGTTAGAGAAAAACACGGATCATTTTGTAAAAAAAAAAAAAGAGTCCTCTCTATATTTCGTATTGCCAAACTAGCCCACATTACCACTGACACATACGGAGCCATCCGCCAGTCCTTATGGTAGCAGTTGACTCCGGTCAGCAGCAACCAAAACAACAAGCTGGTGTCTTAATCGGTTCCTTTCCGTTTTCTGACCTAGCCCAGGCAGCCTCCTGGTGTGGGTGGGCCAATCGGAGGCAGAGGTGAAGGTGCAAAGGACAATTAGACGCTGAGCTGTGGGCTGGGAAGCGCCAGAGGGGCCATGGGAGTGAATAAACACATGTAAACACACAGCGCTTGCACGCAGAAATGACCACACTTTGAGGTCAGTGAGGCTGGCGGATTGCAGCTGGGCGTCGTTTGAAAGTCGAGGTTGAGAGGAGAGAACTATTCGAGACTTTTTCACCTCTCTGCTCCTTTATCTCCCCCTGTTCTTAGCCTTTCGCCCATTTCTACTTCATTGTCTCCATTTCCCTCCTCTCTTTCACTCTTCATCCCTCTTTCTTGTTTCTCCCTGGAGGGCAGGAATCAGAGGACAGATAATATCAGCGCAGGCCTTACACCATTACCTTCTGTCTGATAAACCACCCGGCCACTCCATCACCTCTTTCTCTCACTCTTTCACCGGTGGAAAAAAATCAGCAGACACAGGGCCAGGAGGAGAAAATCTAGTTTGGGATAGGATGTGTGTCTGTGTGTTGTTCTTCCGTGTGCAGAATGAGCAGCTGTTTGTTAAAGGAGAAATGGGAAGTATCAGGGGTCCTGATGGCATCCAATTAAGGCAGATAAAATGATGATGAATTGCAGTCGGGCAGTGGAGACGAACGCTCATGCACACACGTTCGCATACACACACACAGGACGGCAGCAGAAGGGGAAAGCAGCTCTACGGATTTGGAGAAGGAAAGGAGAGAAAGAGAGCAGTGTGAGGAAGGGAAAGTAAAAGAAAGGCAGGGAAGTTTGGAGTTGGAGATACCAAGAGAAAAAGAGGGAGCGACAGAAGAGATGGATGAAGAGGGAAAGAGGCAGAGAGTGCAATGAGAGCGTACAGAGGGAGAGTTTGGAGGAGAGAGAGGACAAATAATCTGCTCCCTTTCCGATGGGAAATGAGAGGATGAAAGATGGATAGATGGATGAATAAATTGATAGGTGGAGCAAATAGAGGTCTAGAGAAGAGGCCAAACATGCCTGTGGGGAATGTAGTCAACACAAACTACACTGGTCTATTAGAGTCACACACCCCTACGTGTTGTGTGTGTATTTGTGTGTGTGTGTTTGAGAGAAAACATGAAGCACACGTGCTGATTCAAACTTCTCCTCTGACTCTTTGAAAACTTTCTGCAGTTTATGGGATTCGTTCAAAGATGTAACTGACTGTAAAACCTAAATGGTGTGAATTATATAGGAAGAAATCCTGTCATTTTGAATACATACACATCTATTCACAAATACCCAGTTCTAACGGTGGCAGAGACGAGGCTAATGAGGGCCTTGGTGCTGGTCGGTGGAGGGTAGGCGCAGCGGAGCATGGTACAGCCTGGTCTGGCATGGCCTGGCACAGTTTAATGAGATATAAACACTAGA